AGAATTTATTATATATATTGTTAGTTTCAGAATGGTAGGAATAAGATTGAGCCAATCATTGTCAATGATTGCCAATGATTGGAATTTGATAAATATTCTAGAAAATTGGCACTTGTTTACAAATGGGTTTCTGCAAAAAAAAAAATAATAATAATGTATATAATGATAATAGATTTTTTTTAAATTGGAAATTTAATGGTGGAAGTTTTCTTTATTTATGTTTTATGGTTGAATTATGTAGTAGTGATGAAAGTGGATGACAATCATTGGGAAATCATATGCCAATGATTGGCATGGGGGATGCTTGAATTGGCAGTGCCAACGAAGGAAAAAAAACGTTAAAAGGGGGGAGGGGCGTTCCACTTCTGCCAGTGGGTGGAAAGTTGGTTCATGTTTTATTCATATATTAAAATGCTAGTTTTTAATATATATTGGGATTGGTAATTAATTATTAGGTGTTATTTTATATGATTTAACATTGAATTTTAGTCCATTTGAAGAGGTTAGAGTTAAGTTCTTGGCTTGAAATTTAGCAAGTATGAAAAATATGGCATGCCAATATGTATCAAAATTTGGAGTTTGGCTGAAAATATGAGTGATTTTTAGTGTCTATGATAGACATATAATAATTTGAATGTCTACAAAAAATTGCTTACTTACAAATATTGCAAAATTGGTAGATTGGGAACGTTCTGAAACCTTGCGAAAAGGAAAGGAAAAATCTTAAAAGATTCGTGGCACAAATTTGGCATATGAGGTATGTTAAGACTTGTTAGACTTGTTGAAGGACGTTTTCCTAATTAAAGATTAAAAATAAAAATAGACAAATGGGTAAGGGGAAAATATGGTGGTCTCGTATCAATGGTGTGACGGGCATTGGTACGAGTACCGGTGTTATAAAACGGAAAATTTCTATTATAGAATGTGGGTTGAAATTTGAGAATGCCAAAGCATATGGGCATTAGCTGATATATTATTGACTTGAATTCCTTGTGTGATTGTGTTTTATTTATTTCACCCGTATAGTTGAGATAATTGAGGTGGTTATGTATTATATTCATATTGATTGATTGAGATGCATCATCATTCCCTCTATTGAAACAATATTGTGCACATGCATAGAGATAAGACTGAGTATAAGTTGGGCACGTGGAGATCGTCCGTGCTGGGGATGGTGAGATGCTAAGATTGTAATTTGGGCACATGGAGACCGTCCGTGCGAAAATTATTTGATATTATGATAGTGCATTGAGATCGTCCGCACAGACACGTGGAGATCGTCCGTGTCGGTATATGGACCTCGCGAGTCCCCCATGGGTCATGAACTCTCGATGTATTTCCGAGGAGTATCATGTATATACGGTTGAGTGAGTACTGGGTATTCTGAGACATATCATTACATGACATCATATTGCATTGCATTTCATCCCATCATTCATTCTTGATGACTATATGTTTCGTTTGGTGTTTGGAAATTATTAAATGTTGATTTCCTTTATTGATGAAACTTAAATAGTAAGTGTAATATATATATATATATATATACTTGTACAATCTAAGAATTTATTTTCTTATATAACTCCCGTCACTACTTCTTCGTTGTCGGTCAATGAGACATACTGGGTACACGTGGTTTCGTACTCATACTACGCTTGTTGCACTCTTTGTGGTGCAGATTCGATTCCGAGTAGAAGCACATCTCGTGGAGCAATTTGAGTCCGAGCTTGGAGTTGTGGTGAGCTGCTTGGCTGTTCCGTGGCCCACACCTCCCTCTACCTTTTATTTATTCTGTTATTAGTATTCAAACAGGATATCCCTTATGTTAGATTTGTCATTTAGTTTCAGACTTGCATCGAATTTTAGAAGCTCTTGTACTTAAGACACCAATTCTTGGGGTGATATATTTTATCTTCCGCATTTCGTACTTATAAGGAACTCAATGTTGGAGATTCTTGCTAAGCGTTGGTCTTTTTTACTCATTTGTTGGTTTAGTTGGGTTAATATGTTGGGTTGGCTTACCTATTGGTTGGGAACATAGGTGCCATCACGACTTGCAAAATTTGGGTGTTTGAGACAACCAAAAATAAAAGTAGGAAATCAAACTTTAAGTCAAGAATTTTATATACAAAATAATATAATTATAATTATTTAATTTACTATCGGGTTATCGGTTAACCCGTTAACAAAAAGCTTTAACCATTAAGAACCGATAACTCGATAACAAAAAAAATCAAAACCGTTATCAAAAACGCTAAACCAATAACCCAATATTATAAACCAATAACTTTTTTATCGATTCGGCTTATCGGTTTCGGTTCGATTTTGAATAACCTTACTTCTCATACTCCCTACTCTTATCAATAATGACAACAGGTTTATCTTTCAGGAGAGTCAAGTCTAAATACATCACACCTAAGTGGAACTGGACTTGTTCATGTTATTCAAAGAAGTTCAATCCATTGAAGAAAGTAACAGACGAAGCAGGCGAAGGAAGAGGAATAACTGCAAAAACATATATACATGCTTAAATCAAAAAAAAAATGTGAATTCAGTAAAATGATAAAAGTATGTCGTAATTTTCCTTTGGGTAGATACTACGACACACTAAATAATTTAAATATCATTTTTATCTTTAATAGGTAATTAAATATTTTTAATCACATAAACGACAATACAATATATCTTTTAATTGGAAATGTGCACAAGTACCCCTCCTAGACTATGACCAAAATTTCAGAGACACACCTTAACTAAACTAAGATTCTATTACCCCCCCCCCCTCCTAAACTTTTTTTTGGTAATTTTATGCACTTTTTTGACTTACGTGGCATCCAAGTATCTTTCACGCGCCTCAATTCTGTGGAGTCACGGAGTATGCCACGTAAGACAAAAGATGCACAAAATTACAAAAAAAATTAGTTCCAAGGGGTAATAGGACCTTAGTTTAGTTAAGGTGTGTCTATGAAATTTTGGTCATAGTCTAAGGGGTACTTGTGCATTTTCCCTAATATTAATTTACCCCATAATATTTACTATTTGTACAATGATTGATTCACCTTTGGATAAATTCTTATGTTCTAGCAATAGTGAAAATCAATTAATCTATTTATTTTTAGTATTGACACTTCATTTAACTTTCATAGATAAATGAGAATTTTTATGAATGCATAATTTACCATACTAATTTGGTCACTTTGATGACTAACAAACTATATGAACACAAATACACATGTAATATCATAAAATTTTGTGCAGGTGAATAATTTATACATTAGTTTGGTCACTTTGGTGACTAACAAACTATAAAAACATAATACATGCATCAATTGATCATAAATATTATATGTGTATACATTAATTTCTCACTGAATGTTGAGAATTGAATCTTTTGCTAATGGGTGGTAGCTTAGTCTATTCAGTTTGGACACTTTAACGAAGAACAAATTATTTTTCACTAAATACATATTATTTTTTTACTTAATATAACGATCACAAATTATTTTTCACTAAATACATATTATTTTTTTACTTAATATAACGATCACGTTAATTTATTACATAATAAAACAAACATAACTATTACACTACGAGAACCTAAAACATAAGAAACTAGAAAGAAGGCTCGGCCACTGTGTTAGTGCCCACCAATACAAAACAATACTGTAACCGAACAATGAATTATTTATTGGTCTAATTCTAAAACTGGACATATAATTCATGATTTTCCATAAACATGACATACATATTGAAGAGGAATTTAAAAGTTTTTTTATTATTATCATCAAAGTACGCGTCCTTTCAAAGAAGTGAGTCTCTTCTGTATTGTTTTTACTTTGTTCTCATTGATGTAACAAAAAAAATCGTGCAAGTTTACAGGTGACATTGTGTTAGTCTCTTACACCATCTTAGATAGATATTATTGGAACATTGACAGTAAGTATTGAAGTGAAGCATGTGATATAGAATACATCATAAATATTGAATGTTTCATATACAAAGATTATCAATTTAAGCAATTCAGGTTCGGATGTTACCCTACCAACTTGCCGCACAAGGGCTATTTTAATCATTTTCAGATAAAAACAGATAATTCATTTGTTTTACTTTACTTCTTATTTTTTTTCTTTTTAATTTTGTTATATACTTGAAAATTAAGTTACTGTGATTGATAAATTAAAATATTTAAAAAGACTTATAATTTGTTTAATTGATTTTAGATATTATATTAATAGTTTAGTACCACATAAATTGAGACAAAGAGAGTAATATAGATTATTAAAAAAATATATAAAAAATGTACTATAAATCACAATAATTACCTCGCTATAGCGGCGTGTCACCCACTTTAGAGATTTTGCACATGAAAGAAACTCAGAATTCTCTCTAAAAGTCCTCATATCAAACACAATTTCGAACCTTCACATTCTAAAGTAACCCCTTCACGTCAAGTTCGATATCGAGAGTTTTACTTACCCATATTTTCGGATTGCCCTGTACTTCGAGGATTGCCCTGTACTTCACCTCACTCAAATATCATCAAAGCCTGGCCTAGCCTAAAATTTTCAAGTCACTACTCAAAAGTTTCTTACCTAAATTCTTTCACCATTGGCTTACCCCCTAACGAATGAAACAATTTTGTTTCTCATCATTTATCAATATACAAATTCACACTACACCTTATTTTACTATTATCTTTCAATTTTTAAATCCCAACAATATTTTATGTTAATAACTACAGCTAGGTTATTTTGTCACTTTTGTGTACATCATAGGAAAAATCTAAGAACTATCAAAATTGCCAAACACATGAGTTAAGGATTTATATTAACAAAACCTAGTTGTAATATCACATGTTGTTGATGCAAGCACGATTGCATCACAAACGCTTAAGACATGATAATTATCCAAGAAGACAACAATAAAATCCAAAAGGTAAAAACATACTACTTTATAATATCTTCCTCTATTTCCAATGTTGTAGAATTCAATAAGTATGTCCTTGTATGTTTCACAAGCCGCCATTATTACTTATGTCCACGATGAAACTCTATCGCTTTCTCTATAAATTGTTAAATTTAATTTAAATACACATCTACACATAATATTGTTCAAAGATATATATGGCTAAGTCTCAATTTCAGTATTCTGCCTTTATTGCTCTCTTCCTTTTCTTCCTTGTTGCATCAACTGGTGAGTAGCCCCCAAAGTACAATGTTGTTCAATTTCAAAAATATTTGATACTCTATCCATTTCAATTATTAAAAATACCTTGTGATATTAACTATATCATGAAATTTAATATGAGGATGTCATTAAGGGATTTAAGATGCCTTTTTTATAAAATATTATGAATTAATAAGAAAAAAGTGTTACATGTATTGAAGCATAAGAAATACATTTTTATAATAGTATCGTAACTTTTAAAAGTGGTTATTTTCTTTTCTTTAACAGATGTGCAAGTAGTAGAATCAATTGGTTGTGAAAAGGGAATAATGTGGTTTGGACCTTGCTTTGATACTCATGAATGTGACAACAAATGTATCAATTTGGAACATGCAATTCATGGAGCTTGTCACATGGATTGGTTTGGTCCCGTTTGCTATTGTTACTTTTGTTGATATAGGATTTCTATTGTCGTGATTGATTCTATCAATTGAAAAATAATAAAAGATATGGTGTTTGTAATAAAGTTGGAAATTTATAAGATGTATGAGTATATATTTTATTGATCATTCTACCAAAGTATAAATCATTTTGGTGTGTAAGTTTCTCCTAATAATATCAACACCTATATCTCATTATCTCGTAATCCGAATGTTGTTTAAATGTTGCTTTTTTTATTTGAAAATTTTCTTTGATCGCGCAACTGTTATACTGGATCTCATCTTATCATCTCTCCATAGGCCTGAAGTTGATATATTAAAGTTATAGATCTATTCCATCCTCTCTAAACTCGTTTATATTTGCTTTACTTACAGAAAATGCTAATTTCATGGCTACTGAATTCTCCATGCGCATGCACTAAGGTTCCTTCTAAGTCTTCTTTCTCATATGGTTCTCGTAACTTTTTTCAGCTTCTAATAAAGACCTTATATAACTGCTACCCGCATTGGCTTATAAAGTCGCTTAATCTAACTCTTAAGGGGGAAAAGCATGCTTACATCAGCCTATTCCATATTGATAGCTCAAATATATTATCTAGATACACATGAAAAATCATAAACTTAATTGGAACCTCGTCTGACTACATACGATTTCAGGTACACCTCTTAATACTCTTGATAATCTAATGACTAAGGCACATTTTATTTCTTTCGTCTAAGGGTCATAATACCACACTTGTACCACTCAAATTTTGTCGAAAAGTAACACCTTAATTCCTCACCTAATTTATGTCGAACCTACTAGATCAGATCTCAAAACTAACATTGTTACCCTCATTTTGTCATCCTTTTTATCACGAAATTCGTCTCAAATTCAAGCTTAGTGTCTAGTACTGAAAACAAATGTTAATATGATTGCTCACATACTATACTACGACAACTAGATAAAATTTAGAAACACTCACCCACTAAGGCCACATGATAGGTAGTCTATATTTGTCTCCAATCTACCTATTAAAGGGTATCTCCCGAAATAAGGTTTAGAGAAACATTTAACTCGATTGCACGATTTATATGAATAAGAGTGCATTCTTTCTAACCCAAACACTTAAGCTCACTCACAGGCTTCTCTCAAGGCCTTTTACAGTGTCTTGACTTTCTGAAGACTTTATTTGAGAGTAACTCATCTATAAAGATTTGGGCTTTGCTTTTTCAACCACCTTAAGTATGAGGGGTAGCCAAATGAATTTTGAGAAATGCACGAGTATGAATAAGCTCCTTAGACATAGTTCTATTGTATGATTTAGAGTATGAAATAAGGGAAACTTTTCATAAATGTCAGTATTCTCTCATTTATTGAAATAGGGTCCTCACAATCATAAATAAGATTCTATTGACACGACTTCATAGACACCCTAGGACACTTAAACTTTGTGCTTTGAAACCAAGTTCGTCACGCTTTGAGCCTGCACCTTAGACGTAGCCAGCACTCAAGCGAACCCTTGGAATGAATGAATACTTTGTGGAAAATTTACTCAAGCAATGATATGCTCAAAACATAATTAAATTAGTTAAACACAAATACTCATCTCATAAAGTTTGAAAATTACTCAATAACAATACTTATAATTTGTAAAACAACTCAAAAGAAAGTAAATATCGAGAGACATCTCGATTGTGTTTATCTGTAAAGCATCTACTATTAAAGAAGGATGTCACGAGACATCTCAAAAAATAATGCTAATAACTGACAAAATTGGAGTCCTCCGAAAGCATGACACCTCATTCAAAAGTTGATAAGCGGATGAAGTGATCTCAACAGACTGTTGTTGAGGATCCTAAGTACCTGAATCTGCATCATAAAAGATGCAAGTTGAATGACATTGGTACATTGAATGTACGAGTATGCAATATAATTGAATAACAAATAATTGAATGAAAAGACTGCAATAGATATAAATATATACTCAATTGAAAGTAAAGAAATAAAGAAGTGAAATCATTAAAACTATACAAAAATACTTACTTATCTCTGAACTCAACATGTTAACTGATATAATAAAAATACATTTTTAACTCTACTTAGGAGATTCTCCAACCGATAACCATCACTACGAGCTACGTGATGATACATCTTCTCGCCTACACTACTATAACTGTCATACATTGTGTTGGGGTACATAACCTCTTGACTAAGTGGATCCACTAAGCAATAAATCTAAAAATTAATATAATTTGCTCATGTTGTCAGACATGATTTACGAGGATTTTGAGTTGTTTGAACTCATTCACACATCGACGCTCAATCAATAAATATCATGCTCAATGTTTAAGAATATTCTCTTTCTCAATTTGAGGTAATTACTCAAAAGATTATCTTAAAAGAGGTAGTGCTCTGAAATATATCTGAACTCAAGAGCTCATTAGAAATCAAAGTTTATCTTTTTTTCACTGTAAAATGATATCTTTGATAAATACTTAGTTCTCTTATACTCTCTCAAAACAACTCCTCGGATTCTACTCAAAACCCTATTTTTAATTTTCTCAGAAATCAATTTATGACAACGACTGGTTGAAAGGATTTCTCAACAGATAAATCAAAAGGTTCATGCAGGAAAATAGACTTGAACAATCAACTCAAGAATTTCAATACATGATATACATCAACTCAACAATTAGGAATACATATTCAGAATCAGAATTTAAGGACTCGGAGTTCAACATCAAACTTATCTCAAGAATACTCAAAACTAATGATAGAACCCTAAATTACTCTTTAACTACTAGAAATATGATATAGGGCATAAGGAAGAACTAGTCTAATACTATGATAGCTTACATACCAGATTTTGAAGCAATTAGATTGAAAACTTTTGTGGAGACTTGATTTTTATTGAGCCCAAGTAAAAACACTATCTTTCTTGGATGAAATCATTGGTCTTGGAATGTTGATGACTTCTCTTGATAAAATAAGATCTTTAGTGAAGTTTCTAAAGTGGAAGGACTTGGAAAACACTTGGATGGAAGAATTCTCTTTGTATCTTGAACTTTTTTTTCTTGAAGGTTTTAGGGTTCTTATTGGGGAAGAGGAATCGTAGGTGAGTTTTAAGAAAATTTATACATACATGAATGTTTGGATTGATAATTTTTTGAGATAAAACTAGTTAGTTGAATGATATACTCAGTTAAACACTAAAAAATGACTTAGAATAGGGTTAAAACCTTGGGAAATGACCAAAATAACCGTAGAACTCGTGCAGAAAGTTTCTAAAAAGTGCAGAAATCCTTTGGGGAATGGTCTACCATTCGTCAAAATTTCTACCATCCGTAGGTTCAGTCATAGAACATCGATTTTCTGACAGAGTTTTACTAAAACGATCATAACTTTCTATTATGAACTATGAATGAGGAAAACTTGATGGCGTTGGAAAGAGGACTCGTAGACCTTTAATTTGATAGGTCATGGAACACCTAAATCATTATATGATGAGATATATGATCATTTGAATTGACCTATGTAGTAACTTATATACAAACTTAATCGATTAGGAAGCTTTCAACTTAACTTTTCGTTAGGAGATTCTTGTGACCTTAATTCATATCCAAATCATTTCCATACTAAAGAATTGACCTTAACACCTAAGAACAACTCAAGAATCACCTGATACGATCGTACATGTAAATAAAGAATAGTTTGGGTCTTAAACTAAAATCATTCTATAAATCTGATGCTCTGATATTAAGTTTGTCATGACCGAAAGTACACCTAGGTGTGACATGGTGAATAAAACCCTGAGAAGCCCTAAACAAGTCTATTGCCATAGGCACGAAATAATTAAAGACGATGTACTATTAAATTTGACATAATAGCATGACGTCTCCAACCTAAAGTCTAGATTATATTTATAAACCTGAAGTGAGTAAAAGAGTGAAACTAAATACGAAAATATAAACTATGTCTTACATAATCTTTCAAACATCATAGGAGCGATTGGGACGTAAACCTTACACCACATATAAGTCTAACCTTAAAATATCATAAAAGAAATAAAGCATCAATGGCCTTGTCCTCAAACCATGAGGATTCACCAATCAAAACAAAAGTTGTGGAGAAATCTCGATTCTAACCACGTCTAGGAGGAGGAGTGCTAGACCCTATATTATGAAAAAATATAGGAACAAATCTGTATTACTATTATGAATATACTAGTATAAGGAAATATATAAAATGTAGGGTTAATAATATGATCAACTTTAAGTATTATATTCCTTACTAAGTAAAACGTAGTAAAAATCTTCAAAAATAATTCATAATTCGTAACAAGGTCAATGCATATTTAAAACTATAAAAAAAACTACGAGAGGACTTTTGAAGAAAATATAGTTCATCTGTGGGGTAACTATCATTAACTAACAATAAGATTATGTGAGTTATAACATGGAATCCAGTGTAACCCTCACACACACAAAAAAAAGAATATCCTTGTCAAGGTAGAACTTCATATCATTCATTATTGCTAAGGTAGATTCACTATCCTGGTCTTTTAAGACAATCCTATGGGGACACATAGTTTTGGGACAAAGAGATTAATTGTAAAGACCTGACCTCTACAAACGGCAAATACTCCATTTCAAATTCCTCTCATTGCTAAATAAAGTCCAACGGAATAGATAAGTCAAAACCATATCGTGGTCACAATACCTGAAAAGGCAACCAATCGAATCATAAGTTCATATTAGAGTAGCTCCTTTCAAAATTCAGATTTCATAAACTCATTCATCAATACACTTACCTATTTATGCATCTTAATAATAATGTATTTCATATGTGAGAAATCTTTCACATATCATTGGCGTTATATCTGAAAAACATCATTTAGTCGTTGATCGCCAATTTCATGAAATATGCATAGATTCATAATCATAATTCATACATTCATAATCATAGATCATATTCATAAAATAGAGATAGGTGTTAGTTCATGTTGAAACAATTGGAAATCATGTAATTGAGTTAAATCATGAATAATAAGATTGAATATTATAAGTAATTAAAGCACAATGAATTGAACTCATAGAGAATTATATGAAATACTAAAAGAATAGGGTGACATTTAATTGGCAATTGATATTCATTTTTAACCCAATGGATGAAAAGGATCAACTTCTGAATTCTCACATACCTTGGGTAATCAAAGATCAAACA